AGGACTCTGGGATCACACCCTGAATCAAAGGCTGACGCTCAAACCACTGAGCCACCTAGGCATCCCATTTTTTTCTTTGATCCATTTTTTAAAAAAATATTTTATTTATTTATTCATAGGGACACAGAAAGAGAATGAGAGGCAGAGACACAGGCAGAGGGAGAAGCAGGCTCCATGCAGAGCCCAATGTGGGACTCAATTCAGGGTCTCCAGGATCACGTCCTGAGCTGCAGGCGGCGCTAAACCGCTGCGCCACTGGGGCTGCCCTCTTTGATCCATTTTTTTAAAAAGATTTTATTTATTTGAGAGAAACAGGGAGAGTGAGAGATTGAGCATAAACAGAGGAGGGGCAGAGGGAGAAGCAGGCTCCCCTCTCTTTTATTTTTTAAAGTAGGCCCTAGGGGTGTCTGGGTGGCTCAGTCAGTTAAGTGTCTGACTTTGGCTCAGGTCATGATCCTGGAGTCCTGGGATGTAGCCCTGCTCTGGGCTCCCCACTCAGCGAGGGCCCTGCTTTTCCCTCTGTCCCTGATGCTCGCCCTGCCTGTGTTCACTCTCAATCTCTCTAATAAATAAGTAAAATCTTTGGAAAAAAAAATAGGCTCCATACCTAGTGTAGAACCCAACATGGGGCTTGAACTCATGATCCTAAGATGAAGAATCAGATGCTTAATTAACTGAGCCACTCAGGTGCCCCTAGAATTCTCTTTTAAATTTCATTATTGGATTGTCCATTGCTAGTGCATAGAAATACAGTTGATTTTTAAATTTTTATTTATTTATTTATTCATGAGAGAGACAGAGAGAGAGAGAGGCAGGCTCCATGCAAGCAGCCTGACATGGGACTCAATCCTGGATCTCCAGGATCACGGCCTGGGCCGAAGGTGGCGCTAAACTGCTGAGCCACCCAGGCTGCCCTACAGTTGATTTTTATATACTGATACTGATTCCTGCAACCTTACTAAACTGGTCTATCAGATCTAATAAACAAGGTTTTTTCTTCTGTAGATTCTTTAGGATTTTCTATATACAAGATCATGTCATTTCTGAATAGGTATACCTTCACTTTCTTCTTTCCAATCCAGATGCCTTTTATTTCTTTTCCTTGCCTGAGTCATCAGGCTAGAATCTCAAATATAATACATGTTGAAATTAAGTAGAAAAAGGAGAAATCCTCGTCTTGTTTCTGATTCTAGGGGGGAAAGTTTCAATATTTCATCAAGTATGATGTTAGCTATGGGAATTTATTTTCTTTTACTTTAAAGATTTTGTTTATTTATTCATGAGAGACAGAGAAAGAGGCAGAAACATAGGCAGAGGGAGAAGCAGGCTCCCTGCGGGAAGCCTGGTGCAGTACTCGATCCCAGGACCCCAGGACCATGACCTGAGCCAAAGGCAGACACTGAACTACTGAGCCACCCAGGTGCCCCAGCTATGGGATTTTAGATAACTTTTATCAGGTTGAACAAGTTCCTCTATATTCCTAGTTTGTTGAGTGCTGTTATCATGATAGAGTATTGGATTTTATCAAATGTTTGTTCTGCATCTATTGAGATGATTGTATGGGTTTTGCCATTATTTTATTTATATGGTGTATTATACTAATTAACTTTCATATGTTGAACTAACTTGGCATCCCTGAGATAAATCTCACTTGATCAGTGTATAATCATTTTTATGTATTGCTAGGATTTAGTTAAGGATTTGTCTTCTGAGGTCTCTTTGTGGTTTTAGTGTCAAGATAAAACTGACTTCATAGAATGGCCTGGAAAGTATTTCTTCCTCTTTTATTTTTTGGAAGAGTTTATCAAGGATCGATGTTAGTTCTCCTTTAAATGTAGTGGAATTCGGGGATCCCTGGGTGGCGCAGGGGTTTGGCGCCTGCCTTTGGCCCAGGGCGCGATCCTGGAGACCCGGGATGGAGTCCCACATCGGGCTCCCGGTGCATGGAGCCTGCTTCTCCCTCTGCCTGTGTCTCTGCCTCTCTCTCTCTCTCTCTGTGGCTATCATAAATAAAAAATAAAAATAAATAAAAATTTAAAAAAATAAAATAAAAAAAAATAAATGTAGTGGAATTCCCTAGTGAAGTAATTTGGGCCTGGGCTTTTCTTTGTAGGGAGTTCTAAAATGACTAATTCAATTTCTTTATTTATTACATATTTATTTAGAGTTTCTATTTCTTCCGCATCTGTGTCAAGCACTGTCTAGGAACTTGTCCATTTCATCCCAGCTATCTAATTTGCTAGGCATATAGTTATTTGTAGTATCCCTTAAACCATTTTTATTTTTCTAATGTAATTTCTGTAACATTTTTGTAATTTGATCTCATTTTTTTAATCAGCAAGTCTACCTACAGTCTTGTTAATTTTATTGATCTTTTCAACAAAAAGGGTTTTATTGATTTTCTTTATTGTTTTTATAGTCTCTATTTTACTTATTTTCTCTAATACTTATTATTTCCCTTTCTCTGCTTGATTAAGGTTTGGATTACTCCTCTTTTTCTACCTTCTTTAGGTGGAAAGTAATATTATTGACTTGAGATACTTCTTCTTTTTAATATAGGCACTTACAGCTATACATTGCCCCCTAATCTTGCTACATCTCATAAAGTTTCCCTTTTCCCCTCTTGCAGCTAAGGCAAGGGCAACATGATTTAGGCTTGGTCATTTGGATGCTCCCACCAAGACTTTGAATCTTGAACAAATAGTATAAAAACACAGGGGACAGAGTAGAATTCATTTAGGATAGCAGCGGTGAGGGAGGTAGTGGTTCCAGCTGTGGTCTCCTTACCTAAACCATTCCTGTGTTGTGACTTTGGCTGAGATTCCTGGTTCTATTTTCTGAGCTTGATTAGCTAGCCTTCCTATCAAACTGAGGATTACTTGATAACCTCAGTTTATTTCTTTTTTAAGTTGGCAGAATTGGTTTTCATTGATGGAAACTAAGAATCTTGGCATACTGTTGTGATAAGGGTTGGGGAGAAGGAGAAAGCATAGGTCTTTCACTTTTCTCTTTGTAAAACTTTCTTTGTAAATTTCTGTATTGTATTGTTGTACTGCTTCTGTTATTTAAAAAGATGCTTTTTAAAATTGATAATCTAAAGCACAAGTGGGTGAAGGAAAGTGGTAGGATATAAAATTTGAAACTTTGGATGAGGCCAGATTGTACAAAGCCTTGAGTATCATTTTGCGGATTCTTAATTTAGCTCAATAAGTATTGTGGAATTCACAAGGCAGAACAATGATGACATGATCAAATCTATGTTTGTTTGTTTATTGCCATGTAGATGAATAAGAACTCAGAGAAGTTAGAGACCAGGAGAATAGTTAGGAGGAGGCCACTGCCATAATCCACGTACAAGATTGAGAAATTTTCTCAATCGAGAGAGAGAGAAAAAGAAAGGAAGAAAGAAGGAAAGATTGTCAGTCACAGGTTGGGTTTTCCAGAAGCAGATAGACAGTTTGAGGTAGAAGATACTAACTAGGAAAAGGAAGTAGGATTGAATAGAGGGAGAAGTCAAACTGAAATGTACATCTGACAGAGATCCAGCTCGCCTGGCAAGGAGCTCTGGAGTGAATACTGCTTATCAGAATTGTCCTGCAGTGGGCCAGAATGACTGAACCTCTACACCCTTGCTTTCCTCAGTCACCAGATGAGGACAGCCCCAGGAGGAACATGACCTCCCACAGGACTGTTCCCTGCAGGTGAGGCAGACACTGAAGGAAATGAAGCAGCTGGAGGCTATCTGCTGCCTCAACTCCCTGTAGTAAAATGGCTAGTCTTTCTTTGAAGGTAGAACCTCATGGTACACCCTCATGCCTGCCACAGAGAAAGAGACGAGTGACCATATCTTGAAAAAAAAGCAAGCCTGTGGGGATCCCTGCGTGGCGCAGCGGTTTGGCGCCTGCCTTTGGCCCAGGGCGCGATCCTGGAGACCCGGGATCGAATCCCACGTCGGGCTCCCGGTGCATGGAGCCTGCTTCTCCCTCTGCCTGTGTCTCTGCCTCTCTCTCTGTGTGTGTGACTATCATAAATAAATAATTTTTTTTAAAAAAAAGCAAGACTGTGGAAATGGAGTATTCTAAAGATACTATATTTTGTAGGTGGGGATGAAGAGGGAGTAAATACAGGTTAACACTGAGGTCTCTACACTAATATGATTTGATAGTAATTCTGTTTAACTGATAGTAAACATAGAGGAGAGAGAATAGGTTTGGGGAGAAAGATAAGGAATTTAATTTAGAACATGTTGACTCAGAAATGTCTGCAAAATATTAAGGTGGAGATGATTTTCAAGAATCAATGCAAATGGGGGGGTCTGGAGGTCAGCAGCAGGTGCTATATTTATTGAGCATACATATGTTATATTATTTGTGTATTTTTATTTCATACTCATAATGTCTCTATGAGGTAGGTGCTATTTTTATTATACCATTTTTGTATATTTTATTATACCCTTTGTTTATGAGGAAACTGAGACTTGAGGAAGTTAAATGCCTCACTCAAAGACGTAAAACTCATGTCGGATGACAAAATGCCTGCTTTCAAAGACAGGATTATACTGCTTCCCCATGAAAAACACAGATAGATGGCATATGAAGCCATGGGAATTAGTAGGTCATCCACAAAGGGTACAATTTAAATGGGAACAAGAAAAGCCAAAAAATGGAATTCTAAGGAAGCCACATTTCCAAGGTGAATTGAGTAAGACGACAAAGGCAAAAGGATCTACTGAGCGGCCAGAACAGTTTCTAAAAATTAGAAGTATGGTATCTCAGAAGTTAGGGTAAGAAGAGAGTTCTAGTCCACAAAGGGAAATGTTGCATATATCATGTGGGATGAAGAGTTTACAATTGGAGGTCATTGATGATCTTAGAGCAGTTTATAGGGAAGTCAGGCTGTAGTGGTTTAGGAGTGAGCTGGAGCTGAGGAAGTAGAAGCAAAAGGTATAGGCTACTTTTCCAGAAATTTTGCAAAGTAGAGGGGGAAAAAATAATGCCATATACATAAGTAAGGAATTTATTAATAATATTATTAAGTAATTGATAATTCTCTGCTCCCATATTATTTCTATTTTACACATTCACCATTTCTCTGGATATCTCTGTCTACCTCTATTAATACCAGCATCCCTTTCCAAGTCTGCCATGCCTGGAAGCATTGAATTTTGTTTATTTTGGTTGTGGATGGACTTCTTGTATTTATTAGGTGCTTTGAATGCCTCAGGTGATTCTGCCTTTGAAGGATGGGCCATAGACCTCCTCCACCCCCACCCAACTCCATCGTCTGTTTTCCACAAAGATAAGAATTCGCTTCTCAGACCAATTCAGCAAAGCATGCAACTTCAACTCTGTCTACCTAGCTTCCTCCCTCTCCTTCCCCGCCCCCAAATTCTTGGTGGGCAGATCAGGGAGAGGAGCTGCCACTCCAAACCTTCTGGGATATAACGTCCCAGATGGGGAATCTCTTTGGTTTTGCAGTAAGCTGAGATCTTTCCTTGCCAGCCTCATCAGTCCAGCTCTTTCTCAGAGGGGGCTGGAGAGTGATCAACACCGCCGTCCACCTGTGCACAGGAAGATGCCTACAGCCACACCAACGATGATGAAACTGCCCACCAGGACACCCAGGACCAGAGAGGTGTAGGAGCGTCCTGTTTGGCTCCCTGCAGAACATGCACAGAGTTAGCCTGAAGAAATACCCCTGAGATTCTTGTCCATGGTTTGAGTCAAACCCTAAAGGATTTCTACCCCAAAGGAAGAGGGCTAGTTCTCTTAAGTGACATAAGCTGTATATACTCTGTCTCAAACCCCCAGCCTTGGGCCTCCTATTGCTCAAGGTATCCATCCTTTAGGTCTATCCATTTGCATGGAACCCACTCAATACACAGGCCCATTCCTTATCCCGTCATACCTTTTGAGTTTTTTGAAGCATTGTGTTCCTGCACGTACTGGACACAGGTGTCTTGCAGGAATTCTCGCAGTTCGTACCGAGTACGATTGTAGGAGTTGAGCTGATGCAGAGTGTAGGTGACCACTTTGGAGGGTACCGGGGGCCCTGCCACCCATAAGGCTTTCTCTGGCTGGAAACTCACAAAGGAGCTCTCATTCACAGCCACTTCAAAGAAGACGTGGGCTGGAGAGCCCTCAGGAGGCAGCTCACAGCCCAGGGAGCAGCGAATGGTCAGAGGAACTGTGGATGGGGGGATTCAGGGTGAGAGTGCTGCGTAGGAAGGGCGCCAGGTGTGGGAGGATGTCCACCAGGGGGAACATGAACTTTTGGGGTTTAGGGTGGATCAGGGACAGGGTCTAGCAACAGGTCAACCCCGAGGCCATGCAAGAACAGGGCCTGACAGAGGGCCCGCAACTAGGACACTCACTCCTCTTCAGGCTCCCACCCTGCGATCAGCGAAGGCAGGTGCCTGACACCTGGGCTCCTCAGAGCGGGCCAACCCACGAGGCACCGAGCTATCCAAGAGACCCTCCTGGAACCCCGCCCCTTACATGAGGCCCCGCCCCGTTTCCCCAAGGCCCGCCCTCATCGAGTCCCTCCCACAGGCCCCCCCCCGCCCCCACCAGGGCCGCCCCCGCCCCCGCCCCCTCCGCGCTCGAGCGCCGCTCACAGTTCACGCGCCGCTCCTGGTGCACCAGCCGCACGAGCAGGTTGAACTCGTCCAGGTAGGTCTTCAGGCGGCGCTCTCTGCGCGCCCAGCTCTCGGGCTCCTCCAAGGGCTGCAGCTGGAGGATCGTGACGTTGGTGCCCTGGCCTTCCAGCACGTGCGTCGTTAGTCCCCCCAGCGACGCGTTGCCCCGGTGCCACACCTGATAGGGGTCGCGGAAGTAGGAGATCTGCAGCATGTGGAGGTTCCGAGGGCCTGAGGACAGGTGTCAGCGCGTCAGGCCTTGGGCTGGCGTGAAGCTGAGATAATAATCCCCTACCAAAGGCGGGCCGCCCACCCTCTCGGCCATTCATAAACTATAAAGTGTTCTTCCACCCATCCTCCCATAACCCTGTCAGGAGAGCAGGACAGGGATTATTATCTCTGTTTTACAGATAAGGAAACTGAGGCTGGAAAGAGCAGAAGCCATTTGCCCCAGGGTAATCCAGTCAGTGGAAGAGCCACAACGATCTTTCTCACCCCTAACTACCCCCATTTCGGGTTGGTCAACAAATCCTGACCTACAATAAAATCCCATTCCATCTCCTGTTCTCTCCTGTCCTCTGCCACTGCCTTACTTCAGGCCTCATGGGTTCTCATCTGGACTGGGGTAGTAACGTCCTTCCTAATCCCTCTGCCCTCATTGTCAGTTTCACTCCTTCCAATCTGACCTCCGTCTTCTCCCAGAAATAAGATTATGCCCTTCTCCTACTTAAAATGCTCCAGTGACACACTCCCCTATCACTAGTAATAGTAATAATAGCTATTAAGTACTTATTATGAGCCAAGCACTGTACCTACACACATTATTATTATCTTATTTGTGCTTTCCTCCCATTAGGTTAATGCAGTGGCTACTGTTATTAACCTCAGTCCGTAAGGGAGCAGGCTAAAATGTTTAGCAGAACCAGGGTTTGAGCACAGGCTGTGTGAGTCCAGCACTTTTAACCACTCAGCCATATTGTCTCCGCATAGGAGAGCTGTCCGCAGAATGACATCCAAAGTCTTTAGCTTGGCATTTGAGGCTGCAGGAGACCAGGTCCCATCTGCCTTCTCTGGCCTCTTCCTGTACTTCGATATAGTAAACTACTTGGAGTTCCTCATGCTGCCTTTTGGTTAAAATCAATAGCATGTCAGGGTTGCTCTGCCTCCAGGCAAACTTCTATTCGTGCTTTAAGACCCCATTCTGTTGCCCTCTCCTTGGAGAAGTTTTCCTAATGCCTCTCCTCTTTACCTTCCCAGATACAGTGGGTCTGTTTCAATGATTCCAGATTCCATATAACTGTCTCGAAATACACAGACTATTCCAGGCTCCCCTAGGCTATAGAATCATGTCTGATTATCTCTGCCTTCTACCCCTATTAAAGGCCTGGCACAGGATTGATGCCTCGAGAGTCCATGAGAGAATGAGTCTGGCACTGTCATTCTGTGTGTGCATGTGTGTGTGTGTGTGTGTATGTGTGTGCCTTGTCCTTTGTTTGCATATGAAAAGTTATGCTCTGTGTCTGCAGATGTGAATAAGCAGATCTGCGTGGGTAACCCTAGATAAGGTTCTTAACTGCCCTGTGCCCAATTTCCTCACGTCTAAAATGGAGAGAATCATGCTGCCCACCGTAGTAGAGATATCTTGGGGGTTAGATGAGTCAGTGCATGTATTAATGGTAGTGAGCGCTCCCAAAATACTGGTGAATTGCTCCCTTTCTGAGGGGAAGACTGGAGCTCTGGAGATTGCAGGAAGGGGAAGAGGAGGTGGGTCCCTGTGCCATCACAATACAGGGCAATGATTCCTTTCTTTGCTTATACAGCTACCTGTGAGTTCTCCCATGGACCATGGCTTCTCTTCCCCAGACTTTCCCCCGCTGCCTGCCACCCGTCTTCCACCTTCTCTGATCTATTTTGCCTTGCTTCCCTCAGCCCTAGCCTCTCCAGTGGCTTCCCATTCCTTCCACCTGTCATCTCTTCCCAGAGTCTCTTCCCGTCTTCCCTGGACTCACGCAAATCCACATCACCCTCAGCACTCCCTCTCCAGACTCATCCCCTCTTCGCAGGGCTAATCCTCTTGCTCTTTTTACCCGTCCCTTCCCATTTCTCCAGTCCTGTTTCCCCAGCCTCTTCCATCACACCCCTCCCCGGGGCAAACTGTATCTCCTCACCTTGGCTTTGAGACACAAATCAGTCCCCAGGACCCTTCCTGCCCTATAGAGAGATCAGGCTGGCTGCAGGCACCAGCACTGCAGAAATATTCCTCTGGTCCTCCCCCTGTACCCAGGCTGCGAGTCTCCAGAACCATCCTGAGGAAGGAGATGTGCCCCTGACTCACCATCTGAGGCTTCCTGGCTACAAAAGGCCCAGCTGGGCAGGAGCAGCAGACACAGCAGTGGCAGCAATGTTGTCAACATCCTGGCGCTGAGGTTCTTACCCCACCTGGGATCCTGACTCGGCAGGCAGGGGGCTCAGGCTGGCTGCAGCCTAGAGGGGAAAGAAGTAAGGACTGTCTGGAAGGGGAGGAGGCTGGAAGGTAGCCAGGGGATAGGAGGAGGAAGAGGGCGGCAGGCTTATAAAGTGTTATTCCTACCCTGTCTCATTTCCTACTAGGGGGCTGGCCTCCCTCTTGCCCTTCCCCTGCCCCACCCTACATCGGCCCTCATGCCCAGACCTGCTTTTCCCTTTTCTCTGGGCCTCTTCCAACAGGGAGCGGAAAAAGGGGGAGTCAAGTTCAGAGAGAAGTTCTGCCCTTGCTGAGTCAGGGGGGTGGGGCATCTGCTTTCAACTTAGAGTGGACTCTAGGGTGTAGATAGAGATCAGCAGATTACTGATGGGGAAACTGAGGCTCAGAGAGGTGCAGAGACTTTCCCAAAGGAAGTTTATATGTCATGGTGGTAACAGATGGGGATTAGAGTTTAGTTTACCAGTATGCTGGCTACATTTTATCAGGATTTTAAGTAAATAGTAATTACACAATCAGGGATCTTACTCTCAGAAATACATAGTTACAAAATGAGTATAAAACAGCTCACTACAGTGCTGTTTGTAGTAGGAGAGGATTATGAACAATCTAAATCTCATCAGTGGATTTGTCACTTAAAGCAATATTTTTCAAACTGAGGTCACAATCTACTACTGGATAATGAAAACAGTTTAGCGGGGGTTTTGTTTTTGTTTTTATGAAATAGAACAATAAGGATTTTCAGTACCTCATCTTGGATCAGAGTAAGCATTATTTCATGAAATATTTGTTCAATTGTATACATGTGTGTTTCAGTTTTGTGCTTGTATGTTTCTGTGATGGATTTTGAACAGCAGTTTAAAATGTATTTCTTGGATCCCTGGGTGGCGCAGCGGTTTGGCGCCTGCCTCTGGCCCAGGGCACGATCCTGGAGACCCGGGATCGAATCCCACATCAGGCTTCCGGTGCATGGAGCCTGCTTCTCCCCCTGCCTGTGTCTCTGCCTCTCTCTCTCTCTGTGACTATCATAAATAAATAAAAAATCAAAAAAAAAATTTAAAAAAAAAATAAAAAAAAAATAAAATAAAATGTATTTCTTACTCTGGGAAGCAAGTGGAAAAATTTGGAAGTCACCCCCTGAAACTATGGTAATCCATATTGTGGAATACTATAAAGTAGTTTAAAAAAAAACCTCCCCTCCCTAATCTCCACTCTATTTTCATATTAATATTACCTGAAATTATATTATTTATTCATGTACATGTTTATTATCTGAATGTCCCAGCAGAATATGAGACCCAAGAGGTTGTCCATCTTGTTTGCTACTGTGCTTAGAATAGATCACATAATAAATAATAATAAATATAAATAATAATATCAGCTAACAGGTGACTGAATGAGATAGTTAAGATATGCATAAATCTCTAAGAGTAAGTTGCAGGATATTAGGTACATTAGGTTTAGAACCATTTATTTGTCAACCACATACATGACAACTAAACAACCTATTTCTTTATGAGAGTAAAAGAATCTGAAAGGATGTACATCAAATATAGCAGTGATTTATCTCGAGTGATTTATTATCAGAGAGGAGCCTGAGGTTAAAAGTATATATGTGTGTATGTGTAGGGGGTGTTTGTGTGTGTGCACATCTGTATATGTGTGTATATGAGTGTGTGTATGCATGTGTATGTGCAAGTATGCATGTATATATGTGCAGTGTGTAAACATGTGTGTGCATACATGTCTAAATGTGTATGTGGGTGCTGTGTGTATGTGTTAGGGATGGCAATTCTGTGGAAGGCCTTTTCAGTCTATTTTGTGAAGGGTTTTATCACTCTATCTGTATTGTTTGAAAATTTTGCACCTAAAATGTGGTGATATAGCTTATGTTGAATTAAAAATAAAAGTTTAAGTAATAAATTATGGTGGAAGAAGGTGGCATATCATCTGAGTTGATGTACTGACATGAGACATTGATAAGTGAGAAAGGGAAGTGTGGAATGATGTACAAGTATAATTCCATCTAGTTTTGGCTTAAAAGCTTACTTCTGTCTAAGTAATACATATAATTCCATTTTCATATTTTAAAAAAATCTATGTGTATATCTGTGTATTGGTATTTACATAGGAAGAATACTGGGGGGGGTGCTCTCAATAGAGATTAGCTTTGGGAAATGTGATTGGATAAAGGGATGAGGTGGGAGTTTTAATTTCTTTGTTTTATACACTGTTCCTTGGGGGGAGAGTTGATGTCATAGTGGAATCAGGGCAAACCCTAGTCACATATCAGGCTCCCATTCTCTGAACCGAATATATGCAATTGTCCATGCTCACCTCTCAATCATTTTCGACGAGCTTAGAAATAACCAAGTCAGCTTGCCAAAATGGTCTAGTCAAAAGAAGCATGGTGGGCCTTGTTTCCCTGGACTGGGACTCAGGAAAAGTAGACGGCCTTAAAATCACTGCCAGTTATACTGTCTTGGCTTTTACTAAAACAATTATGATAAAACATTCCATATTTGAAGAAGTTTTTTCATGCCTAAAGAATTTTATCACAAACATATTTGTCCTCACTACCCAACAGAAGAAATAAAATATTACCAATATAATTGGAGACCCTTATACTCCTTCCTGGTTGTGCCTTTCTCTCACTGCCCCATCACGAAAGAAACCATTAATCAGAATTCACTAATTCTCATTTTCTTATTTCTGGATACTATATTACATGTGCATATATCCTTATACAATATGTAATGGTGGTTTGCATATTTTGAGCTTTGTATAAATAACATTGAAGTGCACTTATTCCTCTGCAACTTACTTTTTTCACCTAATATATTAATACAATTCATCCAAGTTGTTATATGTAGGTTCATTAATTTTCCCTGCTTTATGATGCCATCTTATGAATATACCACAATGTATTTATCCATTCTCCTGTTACAGTTTTTTCCCCCATTTTTTGCTATTACAAAGTGTTGGTAATGACTTTCTTGTACGTTTTTTCTTTTCTTTTAAAGATTTGATTTATTCATGAAAGACACAGAGAGAGAGAGGCAAGACATAAGCAGAGAGAGGAGCAAGCTCCCTGCAGGGAGCCCGATGTGGGCTCCAGGATCTGGAGGTCTCAGGACTCCAGGATCATGCCCTGGGCTGAAGGCAGGCCCTCAACCGCTGAGCCACCCAGGTGTCCCTTATGCATGTCTTCTTGTGCATATATGGGAGAGTTTTTGTAGGTGCAAACATGGGAGTAGAATTGCTGAGACATAGGTATATTCATATTTAATTTTACTAAAAATTGCCAAAATGTTTTACAAAATGGTTGGGCCAATTTACATTCCCAAGAGCGCACAAGGATTTCCCTCACTCCGTATCCTTGCCAACCCTTGGTATTGTCATATGGTTGGGTGTAAAATGGCACTTCATTTTGGTTTTACTGTGCTTTATCTGATTCCTAGTGAGTTTGCATATTTTTGCTTCCTTGAGACCCTGGAGGATGCCTTGGGATGGAGAGTAATAAAGTATATGATTGAACCAATTTATTTATTTATTTATTTATTTATTTATTTATTTATACCAATTTAGAATTGAGTGCTGTCCCTCTGATCTATGCAGGTATGGCCTACATCACTGGGGTTAACGTGGTCCACACCACCATCCACAGAGCTAATCACAGACAGGTCTTTCCCACCAAGCTCAGATCTGTCACAGACAGAGATGACAACAAAATAGTTACATCCCAAGCACCCTCCATACATACCAGTACCCCAAAAATCAAAGAGCAAAGGTAACGATTATTATTATAGCCAACATTTATAGTGGGCCAGGAACTGTGTTAAGCTCTTTACATAAATAATGTCACTTTATCTATATGCCAGCCCTTCAAAGTGGGTTTCATTAATATCACCGTTTTACTAATAAACTGAGGCTCTAAGAGTGTGACTTACCTAAGGTCACGCAGCAAAAACTAAAATATGAACCCATGTTTCTCTGATGCCAAAGTTTGTGAATTCAACCACCACATTAGTGTCTCAAAAGTTTTTGGGGCATCACTCTCCATCAGTACATTTTTTGGGGGGATCCCTGGGTGGCTCAGTGGTTTAGCGTCAGCCTTCAGCCCAGGACGTGATCCTGGAGTCCTGGGATCGAGTCCCACATCAGGCTCCCTGCATGGAGCCTGCTTCTCCCTCTGATTGTGTCTCTGCCTCTCTCTCTCTGTGTGTCTCTCATGAATAAATAAATAAAATCTTTAAAAAAATACATTTTTAACACATACTTCCAACACTCCTGAATATTTATGTTATATACAATATAAAACATGCCAAAAATTCATACTGGGTGCTAGGCCTTTATCTTTTTCTCTGGGGCAGATAGCACCAGGCTCTTTGTCTCCATGTTGCAGAGGAGATAACTCACGTCCAGAAAGGCTAAGTAACTTGCCCACGGTCACACATCATGAAAGCGCAGAGCTGGGATTTGAACTCCAAAACAAAGAGGTGTGGGTTTGGGTACAGGGAATGTGAAGAGAGTGTTGGGGGTGCAGAAACTGGTGAGTGGGGCCAGCTTGAGGGCATCCCCCTTTCCCCTTCGACACTCAGGGTTGGGATGGGGAAGGGAAAAGACAGGTTGTAGAGTCAGAGCCTATGCTAGGCAAGGCCTGGGTAGGCAAGGGGCAGAAAAATCACAAAGCAGAGTGGGCATAGGGCCAGCAGCTGGATTTGACTGAGATCTAAAAAATGAAGGTCCTACTGAACAGAGAGAAGTGAAGGAAGCCAGTGGTAGCATTTCCCACTCTGGAGAGTACATGCCACGGGAAGATAAGGGAGACAGGAAACTGAGTGGGGGCCACTGCGGGTGCAGCCCCAGTGGGTGACGAAAGGCTGGGTTGAGCCAGGGCCTGGCGGTGTGCCCTGCTTGACCTCAGAAGCCCAGACCTCTCCCTCCCCTGTTAGCTACTGGACACAGGCAGTTTAACCAACCAGACCCAATTGATAACAACAGAGTGTGGTCCTTTCAGAGATCACCACCCGCTTAGGATTGGAATAGTAACATGTATTGAGAGCTTACAAATATGCTAGGTGCTGTATGAAGTAAGCAGAATATATACGTTT